ATGAATGGTCTTGATTCAAAGCAAAACTCAATACAATTTGGAGTACCGCAGGGCTCCATCCTAGGACCTTTATTGTTTTTAGTTTACATTAATGATCTTGCTAATGTCACAAGTTCTACAATACCTATTATGTTTGCAGATGATACAAATTTTCTAATCTCTCATAAAGACTTGACTACTATTACAGAGAATTTGAACAGAGATCTAGCCCAGTTTTCAACCTGGTTCCAAGCCAATAAGTTATCTTTGAATGTGAAAAAATGTAATTTCATGGTTTTTGCTGGGCACAAAAATTACACATTTGATGATATAAGAATTTGTATTTAAAACCAACAAATTGATAAAGTTTCTACTGTTCGTTTTTTGGGTGTCCAACTTGACGACAAACTCCTTTGGAGAGAACAAATTGGTACAGTCTGCAAAAAAGTCACTAAATCTCTAGGTATTTTGAGAAGGATTAGAAATTTTGTTCACAATAAAGTGATGTTAACTCTATATTATTCATTAATCTATCCATACCTGTCATACTGTAATATTGTTTGGGCAAGTACATTTCCTAGTTATCTTAAAAAAATACTACTTTTGCAAAAAGCTTTTGTTCGCTTAGCAACATTCTCTAAAGTTGATGCAGCTAGTGCTCCTCTTTTTTCCAAATTACAGCTGTTGAATATTTTTGAAATTAATATTTATCAAACATGTACCTTTATTTTTATGATAAAACAAGGTCAGTCTCCTGATACTTTTAAGAAATATTTTGTTAAGAACTGCCAAGTGCATTCTTATAATACTAGACAAGCTTTGTCTTTTCATTTACCGTTAAGTATTAAAACTCAAGTGCAATTTTCTTTTCGGCATCGTGGTGCAAAATTATGGAATGAATATGGAAAATATTTGGAATCTTCAGAAATAAATGTTAGAAAGTCTTTGAAAAAAATACTGTTATCCAAAAAAGACAGTGATGTATGATTTTACAAAAATTTGACCCCCTGAAATCTGAATGCTAAAATGTAAAAATAATGTTACTGTATATGTCTATTTTGTTTTCTCTGAAAGGACTTTCATAATGTGAGCTGCCTGATATTTTGTTGGTTTACGGGTGTGGCCTTGGTATAAGCCCTAAAGGGTTTCTGTCACACTCCATCACATTTTTTATTTTATTCTATTGGTGTATTCTGAGTTTTTATTTTGATCTGTGAAAATAAAAAAAAATAAAAAATAAAAAAATTATTTTCTGTTTTGTTTTATTCTGGATCGGACTTTAAAGGGTTAAACATCCAGGAGTTAGAGTAGGCCCACTTCTTAAGTCCCCACTGCCACCAAAACCAGGGACACCCCCATGTAGTGGTCCTCCAATAGTGCCTGCATGAGCAGCTGGGCGATTGGATAACGGTGCACAGAAAGCAAAGTCATGGATCTCTGCCCACTGGTCACCACCAGCCCGTCTATGTTTCTAACCGATTTCCCCCCCTCAGTGACGCACCAACCGGGAAGCCCACTCTGGTAAATGGCGGCTCCTTAGTCACAAACATGGCATTAACAGGTATCCCCAAAGTCGGTCCTCGGGGGCCGATGTCCTGCAGATTTTAAAAGGGTTTCTCTGCTTTATCACAGCAGATTCTGATGATTGAAGTCCAGCAAAAGCCTGTTAATCAACTATCAATGTAAATCAGCTGTGCTGGAGCAGGGAAACCTCTAAAACCTGCAGGACAGGAGATTCGAGATTCAAAAAAAAAGGAAAAAAAGAAAAACACACCACTGGAGATTGTTTTCCAAGTTTGAAGACGTCTCACTTCCCATCCAGGAAGCTTTCTCAATTTAAAATGTCTGAAGTAGCGTTGAGTTCCAGGCTTCATAGAGTAGTCCAATAAAAGCCTTGTGCAGGTGGTTCCCAGTCATGTCAATCTTTTTTTTGGGGGGGGCGACAGTGGCGTTGGATGTAGGAGTTCGCCCTGAAATCGAAGGGTTGACGGTTCAAGCCCTGACTCCAACTTTCATGGTCGTGTCCTTGGGCAAGACACTTCACCTGCATTGTCTACTGATGGTGGTCAGAGGGCCTGGTGGCGCCAGTGTACGGCAGCCCCGCTTCTGTCAGTGAGCCCCAGGGCAGCTGTTGCTACAATTTAGCTTGCCACCATCAGTGTGTGAGTGTGTGTGTGAATGGGTGAATGAATGTAATGTAAAGCGCTTTGGTAAAGTCTCCTAATTCAGCTGGCCTGCGACTTTCTAGCCTCGTGAGACCATCCTGATCTCGCGAGCTTTCAAGGTTTCACTCGTTATCAGTCTGGAGACTCTCCGTTAAAGAAAATTTGGAGCCGTTCACCAAACGAACGTCCAATCAGCGTTGGCTTTGAGGCAGGTTGAGGTGTGACGCAACGAGAAGCGCAACAGTTCAGTCTAAAGAACATGTCGGCTTCAGCCGATGAAACTAGCGTTAGCGTGGCTATCGATCAAGTTTTATCGGAATTACAGAGTATTTCTTCACTGAAAGAAGAGCAAAACACTGCTGTGGAGGCTTTTCTCAGAGGAAAAGATGTTTTTGCTCTTCTCCCGACTGGTTTCGGCAAGAGTAGCCTGGCTTGTGGTTGTGTTTTCGTCGTCGCTGTTAGTATGTCATATGCTTCGTTGATCTGATTGGTTTATTTGGCCCGTCTATCATCAACATAGGCCAATCAGCTAACCAGTATTTTCGCCCCTTCCCAAAATTACTTCAACCGAAGGTTTCCAAATGGATATGCGGAGCAAATCTATCTGGCGGAGTCAGGTTAGCGACTTTCCCCACAGGGTGAGAAAACCCCTCCCAGGTGGGATCCAGTGAAACATCTCTAATAACTGTCCTCTCTGCACACAGAGGTCTTCACATTCTGCAAAGAACACCACCAATATTAAACAAGTCCCCATTAGCTGAAATTCAGAGGGTTGACATGATCATAGTACTTTTCAAAGCTCCACTAACAGAAGGTGTTGTAAGTCTGTCTGTCTTCTCCACGCTGAAAAAAAACTGAGCCATGTGATCAAACCAGGAATGTGAGGAAGTAATGCGTTTAAAATGATGAGGAGAACCTGAGGAGGAATAGATGGACGAGTATATCCCGTTCACTTGGTCCCCATCCCAACCATCCAACTGCCTCTGCTGAGCTCACCTGTTATATTAAAGAGTTGCTGCAGGTAAAGATCTTCTGCTTCAGCCTAAAGCCCACTTTCTCCATCCGCTTGGATCAGACAGAAGAAAACCTTTTTGCTATGAGATTTCTCCAGCAGGAATCTTTCAAGTTTTTAGCATAAATTAAGCTAATTTAGGCCAGATTGGTGCAAAGTAAGCAGAGCTGCCCTGAGACCAGATCAGGCCGCTCTGCCTGCAGCAGACATCCAACTTTCTCTGTTAACATTCAACTTCCTGAGGAAGACTCGGACATGGAAAACAAACAGAGGCAGCAGCGGCTCTGGCTGTGCTGATTGCCTCAACTCGTCCTCCTGCCACTTGTGAAGCCCTCAGAGGGCCGCGCTGCAGGCTGCTGATGGATAAACCCTGACAGGCATCAAGGACTATGGCTCTGCTCCACCTGGGGGTGGGGGGGCAGGTCCATCCATCCAGCTGTGATGGGAATAAAACAGCTCTGATTAATTTGAGGAAGGAAAATGTTAAGGTTTCTTTATGGCATCCAGCTGAGGGTCAGGTGGGAAAATCAGGAGTCTGACCAGAAATAAACTCGCCATAGACCGTCAGAACATTCGGCCTTAGTTGATGTGAAAAGGGTTCAAATAATAACTTAAAACGTATGGAAAACATGAAGACGAGCAGACGAGACCTTCAGCAGAGAAAACACCAAGAGCAGGAGGAGGACGGCAGGTCAGAAGGACCAGGATTCAACTCCCTGAGGAGGTTTTTCCTCCTCTGCATGGAGAGCAGAGCAGTAAATCCCAGCAGATGAAGAGACTGACTCACGCAGCAGCTGCAGGTCACTGGAGGCTGTTTAATGTTTCACACTTTTAAATATTCAGACGGTAAACAGAGAGATGGAACATTTGCTTACAGGAACAAAACCTCTGGATCCGCGGATGGTTTCAACAGTTTAACATTTAACTGCAGCTTTTAATATAAAGTAGGGATGCACGATATAATGGGCCCCCTATCGGTATCGGCCTTAAAACTGAATATCGGACATCGGCCACCCCACCGATATTTAACCCGATATTTGATCAGCTTCTGAGTTTCTAAAGTCTAAAAAAAATTAAATAATTCTACTTCTTCCTCAAAAACTTCTTTTTTACAGACTTAAAAACTTCTAAAGACGAGGGAAAAAATATTGATGCATTAAAATATCACAATATCTTCATATGCTGATATATTTCCATTTAAAAACACCATATCAATCTCTTTTACTAATGAAATATTGCTATATGTCATCGTTATGCTACGAAATCCCCCTGAAAATCAAAAAATTTTGCCATATTTTTATATGTTGATATATTGACGCGGTATCGATCTATTTTACTAACAAAATCTCACAAGAATTTGCAAAATATCACGAGAGTTTGTAACAGAACGATGAAATTTCACGAGATTTTGAAAGTAAAATAGATCGATACCGCGTTTTTAAAAATCAATTCGATATCAGCATGTGAAAATATATTTGAGTATATTATTTTTTCAAAGTGTCAGAAATGGATAACAAAACTGCTATTTTCAATGACTACTTATTTTTGTCCAGCTTTAACATCAGTATCGATATCGGCTACATGAGTTTTAAAATATCGGCATATCGGATATCGGCCAAAATCCCAATATCGTGCATCCCTAATATAAAGATCAAAAATACATAAGCAACAAAAAATGATTTATTTTAGGTAAATATCCTGTGATAGTTTGGAGTCATGGATGAACAGGTTAAGATTAAACTACAAAAGTAATAATAGTGAAACTTATTTATATTTATATAGTTGATTTTGAACATCCCCAATCAGAGATGCATTAATGTTTTTAGGAAGAAGCTTCAGCGACATGTGACTTCATTCAGTTTATTGACAGAATAAATCATGTGAGTACACATTAACAAATCCAAAACGCTCATTTTGACCTTACAAATGATCATAAAGTTAATTTTATATTTTTCTTATTCAGAAATTACAAGAAGATTCGACTTTTAAAAAAAATAATACAGCGAGGCTCACAGGTTTAGGATGCTTCTCTTCCAAATAATAATCGACTAATATCTGTAAGTTTTACACTTTAACACAGTCAGAGTTAAATTGGGCGCGAAGTAAAAATAAAATCTACTGTAAACTAGAAACCAGAAGGTTTAGTACCATGAAAACCCAGACAGGAAGGAGAAACAGATGAACGCAGGCAGCAGAATTATACGCTGCAGTCAGATTCATACAAATAAGGAATTAAATTACATACAAAGTACTAAAAACATTTCACATGTCAGAACACTGGTGTATCAAAACTAAAAAAAGCCCATCCACTCCTCCCACTTCTCTGTCGCAAACAGGAGTCAGTTCAGATTTAAAGGGAAACTGGTTTGGACTAATCGCCAGCATAGTTCTGATCCAAAACTACTAATATTTCTAAAGTGCTTAAAGCAAACTAGTCTGACAAATATAAAACGTCTCAGAAGGAAAATTCAACAAAACAAAGAAAATACTTATTATTTAACATATGGACAGGATTTCACCAAAACTAGGCGGAAACTCATTGGAACGTTTTCTCAGTTTAATGAACTCCTCAGCAGAGCCTCAGTACTTCGGCACCTTGGTGTAATCCTCTGCTCGGACGTTTCTGCACAGGCAGAAAGACAGAACCATCCCCAGTATCTGCAAAACAAAGAACAAATCCTCATTAAAGGGTGAAACTCTGCAGCTTTTATCTGCCTTTGTGTGAAGAGCTCCTCAGGGAACCACTGCTTTTATCATAGTGAAAAACTCCAATAATTGTGTCGCATAATTCTGCTTATACAGAAACACACATTTCATTTTGACACTAATTGAGATTGAAGTTTCTAAAATGAAAACCACATCATAAACATGGTCCGGCGTTCCGCAGGAATCCCGTCTCAGTCCTCCACTTTTTTTAATAATTAGCGCTGTGAATAAAGGGATGTAAAGTATAGCGGCTCGCTGGGACGGTAAAAAGGAGACTCCGGTGTAGGTATCCGATCTGCTTTGGTGGTCAGTCTACTCGATGCCCCACCCTTCTTATGACATCACTATATGGAAACTCCACTCAGACAAACTTTGATTCACCCGTTTCTCAAGGATCGAATCTCTTTTGGAGTTTCAACATACTATTACCTACATTAGCTATGATTTAACATTTTCAGGGTTCCTACAGCATAAGGCAAGTTAAATTCAAGACTTTTTGAGACTTTTTAATGCCACTTGAAATAAAAATTTAAGACCAAATTCACAAGAAACACAAGAAAAACCTTTAACGCTTTTATTGGTTCCGCTATCGGGACGGAACCAATAATTGTGAGCAGTTATTTTTTTTAAATAACAAAAAGTCAATTTTAATGTTTTATTTGGATTACAAAGATAAATCTTAATAAAAAAAATCCTATTTATTATGTTTTAAAAATTAAGACCTACGAAAGACTGATTTAAGACATTTTATTACCAATTAAGGCCTTAGTTTTATTTTGAAGAATTCAATGCCTTTTAAGACTTTTTAAGGACCCGCGGGAACCCTGAATTTATTGGTGATCTAAAGTAGCCGAACGTAGAAAACAATAATTTTCAGTCTTAAAGGAAAGTGCTGCCATTTACCAAGGTGACAAAAAGAAGTCTCAGTTTATTTTTATTCTTTTTATTAAGATAAGAGCAGGGGAGGACAAATGAAACATCCAAAAAATGACTTTCATAGAGATTTTAAATGAAGAAAACAAGTTATTCTACGTGTAGAAAACGAACGGTTATTGTTGATACGAATTCAAAAGTAGTGTAGCTTAATGTGGCTAACTGAACGAGCTAAAAGAGGCTAACCTGTTAGCTACTGAGCACAGCTAGCTACAGGGCTACCCAGCTCTTCCCCTCCACACCATGGTCTAACAGTTACTTTGTTCACCATAAAACAGACACGCTAACGGACGCTGCGTGATGTTATTATCGTTGTCTGGGCAACCAAAATGTTTTACATCATGTGGCAACATTCAGCCAATCATGCAGCGTAACGTCACTGGCATGAAGCAGGACCCGAGCAGATCTGGTACCTACACCTGGTTTAAATCCAGACTGTTTCTGGGTAGAGTTAGCGTGTTCTCAGAGGTCATGTGTGATTCTTCTACAGGTCGTCTGGGTTCCTCCTAAGGGCTACGAAAATCTTTGGTTTTTGGGTTCAGAACTTTATTATTTCTGGATTTATATTTACAAGTATTCCCAACATTTTTTCTTAAATGTACAAAAACAAGACTTTTATTATCGTCTCTAGCTTATAAAACCAAGCATCTAAAGTTTCTCTTTGGTTTATTCTGGAAAATTTCAGGAGCGAAACTTTGAATCAGTTGACGTAGCATAGAGTATTAGCTGCCATTTAAATCCATGCAGGTAGATTACTGGTGGTTTAAATGATGCATCAGGAGTATTAACTAGCTTAGCCTTTCCCTTCTGGTTCCGAGAACAAAAAGCACAGCTTCCTTCTTTAAGCTGAAACACCTTGTTGGAGGTTTTAGCCTCCTGAGCTCATTGTAGGTTTTAATCGTCATTATTTCAAATATTATTTCCTTATCCTGCTTTAGGATGAAATCCTTTATCTTTATTTTCCAACAAAGGAAGCGTACCTCAACAAAAGCCACTCCGAGGCAGATCCCCAGAACCACCCCCAGGTTGGTTGTGATCCAGTTCTCCACACTTGCAGAGCATCCCTAAAACAGAACGCAGACAGAGGAATTAGGGACCAATTCAGAAGGATGACGGAGAGCGGCTTAGGGAACCAGACGCGTTCTTTACCGTGATAAAAACGTCGCTCGCCGTCAGCTCACACATGCCGTTGTCCGGCAGATTCTCTGCAGGGCTGGAGGAATTCCGGCAGGAGCAGGGGAACAGATCAATGGAGCTGTTCTGGATCACCATGTTCTCATTCCAGTCCTGAAGGCCGTTCCAGCCGCAGCACCTCATCTGCAGAGAGGTCAAAGGTCATCAATGTGTTAGCTACCTGTTAGCCAACAGCTCTCCTCCACTGAGTAACGGAGCACTACTTAATGAAGCAAGTTCTGATGTTTATTAGGATACAAATAAAAAATAAAAATAACATTTCATCTGAACCCAGAAGATTAAGTGAAGCAGTGATTTGATTTTTTTCTGGTCGTTCTGTTTGAGGTTCTGTAAGAACGGAGGACATTTGGAGCAGAACTCACGTTCTTCTGGATGTAGTCCCAGGCCCGCTCTGTGCTGGAGAGGTTGCCAGGGTAATTCTTCACAACCTGGATCACGATCTTGGAAACCTCCTTGTTCATCTGCAAGAACAGAAGGATAAAGCAGAACCAGAGCAAAGTTCTTCACTTTTAGGAAACACTTTAACGTTCTTAAACCAATCGCTTTGATTTTAGACTTTGAAATCACAAATGCTTTTAAATTTGGCTTTTCTTTGGTCATTTTCCATCAATTCTTAAACATCTAGCATTATTTATTAACTTTGATATTTTTTCGATTCTTAAGATTTAAAATTTCTTTAATATATTTTTATTTTACTAATTTAACTTTATATTTAAGTTAATAGTCATTTATCTTAACACTTATTTATGCGTTACTGTTGTTTATTTTACAAATAAATTACTTGTATTATTTTTACCTGCTCAAAAAAAATCAACTCTAATTTTTAACATCAAAAGATTTGACAAAAGGTAATGTTGTCTAAAAGTATAAATCTCATTCAGTATAAACATAACTGAATATCAAATTCGTGGAAGCGTAGTTTTGACAAAGGAAGCTTCCATAAAATATAGTGAGGAATGTTTTTTCCCAGCAGAAATCACACTGAAATGCTTCAGTCTGAACAGCAGGGGGAGCTAAATCACCAGGTGGTCAGCTGCAGCTTCCCCTCACAGCAACAGGTGGGTCATGTGACCACCAACCAATCAGAGTTTACCGCTCTGCTGAAACAGACACTTCCTAGAAAAGAAAGTAAAAACCAGAAGCTAAGATGAATCAAGAGGAAGTGACATCACTCACCTCTGGCTTGTTAAAATGCATAAGAGCTCCAGCTGTAATCTGAGCGATAAGGATCAGTAGGAGGAAGGTGAAGTACTGAGGAAGAAAAAGAGAGGATGTTACCAATCTGTCCACATCGGCTCCAATGAAGAATTCAGAACCAAAAGCTAAAAAAAAAAAGAGGCCCGTTTAGAACCCCACCCCTGAAGAGCAGCAGGCTGCAGAGCTTAGCAGGAGCTGTGGGGGTGTCAGGGTCGGGTAGAAACAGTCCGACACAGCTTCAGAAAGAGTCACAGTTCAAATGTTCCAACCAGACTTTAAATGATCCTAAATAATCTGGATGGTTTCTGTGAATCTGGAACATCAGACCTCCACAGTTGTCATGACGACTCACCAGGCCCAGCAGGCAGCGGACCTCGTATATGGTCCCCACGCAGCCGACGATGCCCATGAGGGTGGAGAAGCCTCCAACTCCGATCAGGATGTAGCAGCCCAACTTCACAGACGAGTTGTCATCTGAGGAGTGACAGCAGCACAGATGTTAGGAGCATTTCTTCATCTGTTGATCTAAAACCATCCGGCTAATTTCACACGGAGGCCCCATGGAGCCCCGGAGAGACTCCTGGAGATGAACCGATCCCGCTTGTTTTGGGTGTACTATTCCTTTAAGGCTGATACTGATTATTTAGACATCAATACGACCAAACTCAACTGCAAAATATTTTAAACTACAAAGAAAACTTTTAAACTACTTTTAGGTTAAAGATATGTTTTTCAATAAAATAAAATAATTTCTTTAGTTTCAAACTGCTGTTCCCCATTCATGTGGGCGGGGCTTAGATGACATGCGATGAGGAATGATGACTGAACGTTTAGATGTCTGGAAAAAATATTCCCTGCTGCTACTTCAGGAACCGCTAAACTAGAGAAGGCTAATATAACAGAATCAATAATTATGGAATTGGTTTTAAAGTTTTTTTTATTCCAATGTTTCTAGTTCTTATAATATTGATCAGATTAAAATCTTTCCTTTCAAAAAAACTTTTAAAAAACAGTTCAGTTTTCAAATACTTTTTATGCTTCAAATAATTTATTTTCAATTTGAACAAAATATGTTTTTGAACAAACTTTATGGCCCCAATTTATCTGCATAGAAAAAGCAAACTAACAACATATGAATCACAAGAAAAAAGTGGTGATATGGGCCAAAAACATCAGCCAGCTGATGTATGGGTCCATTTCCAGAGACTCCTGCTGATCCAAGCCGTCCTCTGAATGGTGGAATTCCTCTGGGTCAATCTCTCCAACATCCTGGAAAAAATTCCTCAACCGGCAGAAAAGATGGAGTCGGGCTCTCAGTAAATCCATGAATCACATTGACCTTAAGTGATGCTTTGCAGTGCACATCTGATGCTTTCAGTTCCCTCTATGGAAGTATATGAGGCTAAGAAAGCAGGTAAACAAGATGGACGCTATGACCTCAGCAGGGATCCTTAGCTGGAAGAAGCTGGATCTGAGTTTTTCCAAAGTCAGTATCACTTCTTTTGGAGCCGTTCTGGTGAATAACAGAGATTTTAAAAACACGATCACTACAGGATTTCCCTTAGATACCGTTTAGAGATGATCCCCTCAGTTGAAAAGGTCTTTGTTTTGATTCAAACAGAAAAGGCTGCATTTGCAACATCTCAGATAAAGCGTTTAAATGTGAACCTAATAATAAAATATTAAAAAGAAGTCAAATGCACCAAGTACAGAGCCTTGAGGAACTCCAAAATTAAGTTTCTGATAAATGAAAAAAAAAAACAAAAAACAAATATTGAATCTTATAGACATCTCTGAAAACAGAGTGCTACAAGTTGTAATTGATGTTCCTTTATCTTTTTTACTGTAAAATTTAGTGCTACTTTATTAAGTCTGTGCTGCTTTTCTGTCATTTTTTATGTTAAACTGAATTTTCATCCGAGTGTTTAGACTGGCTGAGAACCGGTCAGTTCTACTTCTCTTCTGTGTGAAAGTTGATGCTCAAAGTAACATCTGGATGGAAGGAGAAGTTGAAGAGTGAACCGGATTTCCTGTGTAAAGATTTCTGAGGTTCATTCAGGCTGAGAGAGAGAGCAACACCTCCAGCAGATAACAGGAAGGCTGAACAAGCTCCCCTGGAGCATCCTGGCTTGAAAACTCTGCTGTAAAGATCGATTTTCTTCTTGGAACAGATGCTCTCCTAATGTTAGCCACGCTAACCGCTAACCTAAAGTATTTTAATCGTCTTTAAGTATTAGCAAAACTATTTTCTGCAGATGGATAATTAGAAAACATCCATGGCAGAAAAAACTGATAAAAATGTTTAATAACTTAATTTATTTCAATTAATAAGCTAAATGTAAAAAACAAAGTTATCAGCAACAAAACCCTGATTAGTTTATCTTAATTTTATTCAGCAAAAATCCACGAGTCACATGGCTGCAGAGGAGGAAGCACCCAGAAAGAACATCGATTATTAGGAAGCATTTCCCATCCAGGCAGTTTCTTATCGCTGCTGCTAAATAAAACAGGAAACTCTTAAATTTAACTAATATATGTTAATTATTATACTTCCTGATGAGAGGATTTCCCAAACTTAGCATCTAATATATTTTCATTTCTGTTTTTAACGTTCAGCTTAGTTTACCTCCTCCACTGATGTTTGTTGAAACTTGCTCACTGACATTTCTTCAGTCCAAATTTTGATTTTTAACTTCCTGAAAATAGCTGAAAATAAAATGTTCTGGACACATGAATGAAGACTCTCTGAACCCTGAAACCACTTGGCTGCAGAGGAAGCACCAAACTGAGCTAATGTGTAACTAACAGCTGATCTTGGAGCTAAAATCTGTTCCTCCGTTCAGATTCAGCTCCATCTTTATCCAGTCTGATTCCACTCCTGACACGATGCACCGCTTGCTCACTGATTCACTGCAGACGTCACTGCATGTCCCCATAACGAGTTCACGCATTGGATCTTCCATTGGACATCAATACCTGGTATTTATGTCCAGGCGCAAAGCTGGACGGCCCTGCATGCTGAGGCGAGCCGCTTTGTGTGACTGCAGCGATGCAGAGTGAGCGTAGTGATGAGTAAGGCACTGATGTGATGCATGCTGATGCTGGACGGAGCAGAAAGGACCCAGTGTGTGAGGGAGGACACCTGCTAAGCGGACAAATGTCCTCAGTGACGCTGGCGGCTCTGTTCGCTCTCCGTTACACTCGCTCAGTGTTCATCTCCATCGTCCTGCATCAAGTGACTGACTCCCTCTCTCCTTACGTCGATCTCGGCTCCTCCACAGTCCGGCCGCTTCAAATAAACACCCCGCGATTCAAATCATCAGGGCATTATATGTTCCTCCTTCAGACCCTTTGGCCTGCTTCGTGTTGTCAGGCAGGTTCTATTTCAAAAATTTCTTAAATATGTATTTCAGCAGTGATCAAGGTGCATTATCTTCATTGCTAAACAAACAATGAATGAAAAATGAAAGAGGTGTGGATGGGCTCTCCTGTTTCTCCCATAGTGGGGAACTTATAGATGGAAGAAGAGGAAAGCAGAGCTCTACACTCATACGTGGGAACAAACCCCGGTCACTGGTTCAGATACGTGGACGACACATGGGCCAAAATAAAGACCAAGGCTGTGGACGGAATCATCTACCCCATTTACACGACCCTCTGAAACTGATCCGTGCTAGGGATGGAACGGTTTATAAAAACCGTCCGAACCGTTCGGTTCGACTGTCTCGGTTCAGTTCGCGTGTGTTGCGTTCGGTTCATGCGCTGCTCCTTTTTCTCATAGGCCAAGCGTTTACACTCCAGAGCAGAAGGTGGCGGTACTGCGACCAAAGCCAACCACCAGTAGTAAACAAGAAGAAGAAGAAGCTAAGCAGTTGTTGTGGAGAATTGTGTGGGTATGGCGAGTGGGAAAGAACAGGAGTTGGAAGACGCGCCAGCAGCACTATAGGTCTGCTGTATGGGACCACTTTGCATTTAGAGTGACCTACGATGACGGCGGAAAGAAAGTTGTGGATAAAAGTGCAACAGTGTGCAAGCATTGTGCAACACGTTTTGTTTATGCTAACATCAACATGACCAACATGTCAGGCTAACAATCAACATATACCGAACCGAACCGAAAACCGTGAAAACGAAACCGTTCCATGAACCGTTCCACCCCTAATCCGTGCCGAGTTCGGACTGAGCTGAGATCAGTTTACACATCCCACTAGCACGGTTCCCTGCCTCCTAGTGGTGACCTACGATACTACTGCTTTCTAGAGGTAAACAAGCAAATCAACATGGTGGCGCCCATAACATTCAGTAAGTTCTGCTTGGTTATTATTGTGACATTTCGTTATTTCCAGAGAGTCAGGCGAAAATGGCAGCCTTTGGTGAATTTACCTGACAGAGTCGGCTTTTGGGAAGTGGATACGACAAACAATAGTCTAATCAGGGCTTACAGACGCAGGAAACAGTGACAGATGTTTAGGATAATCACAGAATCATCTCTGGAAATCGTGTGGGACGGTAGGAAGCTTGTATTTTTATGAATTTCTGATATTTCATGATTACGGAGGCTGGGTGTAAGGAGATGACGCGGTCTGCTCATGCACTCTTTGTTATCTGACAACTGAGCCAGAACTGAACCATTTAGTGCAGTTTGTTGTGTCTGGCGCGGTCCGGTTCAGTTTTGCCTGCCATTTACACTCAAAAGTTTTCTCAGTTACCGTGCTCGGACCGATCGGAAACGGTTTCAAAAGGGTAGTGGAAATGGGGCTATCAAGTTCACCAGGGAAGATTTGAAAAATGACCGCTTTGCCTTCCTGGACTGCACTGTTCACATCATTGAGGACAAAAACGTCCATATTGTGGCCAAGGAAGACAGATGGTTGGAGTGAGGGGTTAAGGAAGCCATTTTTGTTAACCTGGAAACACCTCTACAGAGGAGGTGGTATTAGACATAACCTTTAACCTACTTAGAAAGGACTTTTAGGAACAAAACCCCGAAGATTCACCTCTCAACTGCCCTCACCTGACTCACACTTCAATGAGGCGTGTGACTAAAACCACTCTGATGAGGGAGTTAGCGACACATCAGATCCCCCTAATGACTGTGAACCCCCCATGTGACCTCCTGGCCAATCCACTGGGGGGATCAGAGCCACCATTTGTTTCCCCTAATTCTTTGTTTGAACTACAGTATATTAATCTCAGTGCTCCAAACTACTAGTTAGAACTGAAGAAGCCTCTTGGATGAATGGATAAACGTCTTCTAGAAAACTTCACGTCCAGTTGCCTAAACTGAACTTTTCAAGCTAGACCCTGACCTGGATGACTGAGAATCTTCACAGATATGAATGAAAAATGGTTTCTGCATCTATATTGTTTGATCTAAGTAAAATCAGAAGGACTCGATGAGTGACATAAGTGAAGGGGTTCAATGCAGGAAACAAATGCGGTAAAAAATGCATTTGCAATGAAAAACGATGAAAGATCTGAATTTAGGGCTGCAACAACGAATCGATAAAATCGATAAAAATCGACTTTTAAAAGCGTTGGCAACGAATTTAATCATCGATTAGTTGTGTCGCGCGATTAATGCGTCATCCGCCGCCGCCGTCATCCCGGGGAAGAAAAAAAAATATGGCGGAGCGAGTCAGCGCCGCAGTTGCAGTGTTGCCAACTCAGCGACTTTTCAGACCCCTCCAGCGACTATTTTTTTAAAAAGCGACTAGCGACAAATCTGGCGACTTTTTACGGTGTCACTGGCGGCTTTTGGAGACTCTTACGTGAAAGCCTGTATCGTTCCTACTCATGTCCTCCAGCGGCAGCTGCTGCCGTGGGGCGCCTCCCCCATCCCAACGCCTTTCTCCCTCTCCCACAAGAATCCCTCTCAGCGCTGCAGTCCGAGCCGCAGGATTTTAGTGAGGAGTTTACCCTCAGCGTCCAGACTGCAAATGAAGCGCGCATGCCCCGGGATTGACGGCGCAAATTGATCACAATAATTAAAACAGCCTGCGCTTTGTAAAGTGAAAAAAGTCGTAACATGCAACTTTTGTAAAAACAAATAAACATGGCACGGAAGCACCACTGTTATGACGCAGCACCTGAAAAGAAAACATGTTGGAGCTTTCAATGGCAGTGAAGAGAGCTGATCAGCAGGATGAGTAACCATGTTTGTTTCATTTTAAAGTGGGGAAACGTAAGTTAGTTTCTCATCTGATGCTTTCCTTACCGTGTTAGTAGGTTACAGACAGTGATAAGGTTGGCTACTTATTTTACTTTTAATTTCATTTGAATTAGCTTAAGCAGCGTTTATATTTTCTTTATAAATAAATTAATTTGCAAATTATGAGGGCAAGGCTTTTAAAGTTGAAATCTTCTGGCAAAGATAAAGTAAAGATGATCCTGCAATTTATGGAAGTAAAGCAGAATAAAATCCAGCAAGATCAGTAATATGTCAATTAATTATCTGCCACATTCCCATGTAAATATCTGTCTTTGGAGGATGTGTTTTTTAGCACCCCTAGTTCTCTCATTTTTATTCCAAATGCAATTTATAATTTGAACCACAGGGCTATTTTTATCTCTATGGTTCAGTATTTTCTCAAGTAGCAACTTTAACTGCTATACTTTCCTGTCTTAAAAGGCAGAACTCTTCTAGTCTAAAAAAAACTCATTTGTTGAAATGGGGGGCCTATTGTTTGAACCCCTTAGGGGCTTTAAAAAACAAAAATGCCTGTCTCTTTTTGCGCTTTATGAAACAAAGTACCCTATATTTAGTGGATGTACAGCTACATTTCTCATGTAAGTTTGCGTAGTTTTAAAACAAACATTTATTTTTCATATAGCACCAGTACAGTTAATGAGAAACCTGTACTTGTGTGCTTGTTTGTTCTGTCTAAAATGTTTATTTTGGAATAAAGAGGTTAATATAAAAAAAATATTTTGTGTCCGATTCATCGATTAATCGAAAAAATAATCGGCCGATTCATCGATTTTCAAAATAATCGTTAGTTGCAGCCCTATCTGAATTGGAGTGCAACGCTGTGAGGAAACAACTGGAATGATTAAAGCATATTTTTTAACAAGACTCTGATCTTAGCAGCATTGAACAGCTCATTAATTCTGTGCGTTAAACTACCTGCAGCTAAACACACTGGACAAAATTAGCCCAGCAGCTTCTTGCAAACAAATTCTGATGTCACTTAGGAAGAACTCTGATTGGCTAATCCCACACTTCCTGTGTTTCAAGAACGCTGATTGGCTAATCACACACTTCCTGTGTTTCAGTGGCTGTATAGTGTCACATAAATGTGAGATGTGCTTTTGGTTTGGTGGAAATACCCAAAATACCCACACAAGGTCTGTTTGTTTGCTTTGAACTGGAGCCAGAAACAAACCCAGTCACCAGGAACTGACCCAGTCGCCAGGAACCGACCCAGTTGCCAGGAACCGACCCAGTAGCCAGGAACCGACCCAGTCGCCAGAAACCGACCCAGTCGCCAGGAACCAATCCAGTCGCCAGGAACCGATCCAGTCGCCAGGAACCGACCCAGTCGCCAGGAACCGATCCAGCCACTAGGAACCGACCCAGTCGCCAGAAACCCACTGAGCCAATAGGAACTGACCCAGTCGCCAGGAACCGACCCAGTCGCCAGAGACATACCCAGCCAATAGGAAAGGACCCAGTCAACAGGAACCGACCGAGCCAATAGGAACTGACCCAGTCGGCAGAAACCCACTGAGCCAATAGGAACTGACCCAGTCGGCAGAAACCCACTGAGCCAATAGGAACTGACCCAGTCGCCAGAAACACACCCAGCAAGTAGGGAACGACCCAGTCAGCATACGTCACACAATCACCAGGAATCAATTCATGTGCCAGAAACCCACCCAGCCACTAAAAACCGACCCAGTCGGCAGGAATCAATCCAGTCGCCAGAAACCCACCGAGCCAATAGGAACTGACCCAGTCGCCACGAACCGACCCAGTTGCCAGAAACCCACCCAGCCACTAAGAACCGACCCAGTCGCCAGGGACCGACCCAGTCGCCAGGAATCAATCCAGTCGCCAGAAACCCACCGAGGCAATAGGAACTGACACAGTCGCCACGAACCGACCCAGTTGCCAGAAACCCACCCAGCCACTAAGAACCAACCCAGTCGCCAGGGACCGACCCAGTCGCCAGGAATCAATCCAGTCGCCAGAAACCCACTGAGCCAATAGGAACTGACACAGTCGCCACGAACCGACCCAGATGCCAGAAACCCACCCAGCCACTAAGAACCGACCCAGTCGCAAGGAATCAATCCAGTCGTCAGAAACTGACCCAGTCGCCTGAAAGCAACACAGTTGCCGGGAACCGATCCAGTCCCCAGGATCATTCAGTTCTTCAAGCGTTTCATCTGGTTTTGTATCCAAACAGAACTACCCCCAAATTCCAACACAAGGTCTGTTTGTTTGCTTTGGACTCAAGCCGGAAACCGACCCAGTCACCAGGACCAGGACTCTGTCACTAGAGACCGACCCAGTTGTCAGAAACCGACCCAGTCACCAGAAACTGACCCAGTGACAAGGATAATTCAGTTCTTAAAGTGTTTCATCTGGTTTTGTTTCCTAACAGAGTCATTAAAAACATCCAACCCAGAAGCAAAAACGACAACATTTCAAAGCTTCTTTTCGAGTGTAATTAAAGACCCTGGAAAAGTTCAGGATTTATCTTCAGATGAAATATATATTAGATTGATAAGTTATGAACCATTTGGACTTTGACTGAGCCATTTTGAAAACCAGCGAAATCTTTTGGAAAATAAAGTCCTTGGAAGTTGGAGACAGTCAACAAAACTGTCTTTCAAAAAGTACTCGATCCTAAAACGTTAAATAAACTCAGTGATTAACCGGTTAGTCAGATATGTTCAATCTTCTGACTGAGTACAGAGTTCCAGCTTGTGGCAGTTCTACTGGTTCCCCTGGATCTGAAATTAGAATAAATAAAACAGAAATATCCTTTTCTGGAGTCAGTTTAGTAATACTCAATCCAGACCGGGAGAAAGTGTTGCTTCTACCCAAAACAATGAAAACTGACAAAAATACGCAGAACAGCATCAGAACTTGGATCAGAACATGGGAAGCATTTTCACAGCTGCAGCTCATTAGCTGCAAATCCATTAAAAATAAAGTCCTTTCTGAAATAATTAAAAACATGATGGTTCACTTACTGAGGACCAAGATGAAGCTCTCTTTGTCCAGAAGGAGCCAGAGTCCGAAGCCCATGATGAGGACACCAAGCAGCTGGAAAATTAACAAAAACAGACGTCAGTAATCATGTTTGACTCTAAAAAAAAAACATACTAATGAGGCTGGAACAAAACCAGCACAAAAAAACCCATTTACATATCTCACACACAAAACATAAATGACTGAAAATTTAAAAATATCAACCATCTTAACCTAAAGAATTTCATTCAAACACTGCAGCAAACTTTCTAAAGAAAAAACGAATGTGAAACCTGACAGGCTGCATCAAGCTAATGTTTGCTAACTGCTACAGCTAATGTAAAATAATCCAACAACTCAAAATATTATTTATTTACATTCATTTTACAAACATGACAAGTAGTATGAATATAAGAAAAAAAAGTGAAATATTAAAATACAGTTTCTTTTTTGGCTTTCGAGAGCTTTTTAAGGCTAAAATGCAGTAGGTAGGGCCAACTAGCATCACGTTTAAACTTCAAAATTTAGCTTTAAAGACATAAGGATGTTGTTTATTTTGAAGCCCTTTTTTTCAAAAGTTTATATTTTGGTTAATTCTGCAAAAACAAAAAATAGTGACAGAGTCCCCGTTTACGACCACCTGTCCCTGGTTATGAACAGGGGAAATGTTGCGCCTTATTACGGTAGAAAGAGCGTGCGCTCAAGCTGCACGCAGAAACAGCTGTTAGCTAGCTGGCTGCGCAGCGTTAAAGATGAGGAAGAGAGTGCACCACTTTTAAAACAGAAGAAGAAGCAGAATTTATTTGCCTTTATTTATTAACTGGCGGCAGCTGATGGGGAAAATGCAACGTAAACCAAGCTAATCAACATCCTTCACCTCCAAGTTGGCGGCTTAGAAATGATCCTATACTTCTGACCTTTTTAACACAACTTTTTCCTGAGTCATTAAAAGTTTTCCAGTCTGTAGTAACCTCTGCGCTCCCATTGGCTGATTGACCTTTCTTCCATCTCTCCTGCTATACAGGATTCATGTTTAGGCAAACTATTATTGATGGAAAACGAACCAAAGGAAGGGACCAGAGGGTAGTTTCAGTTCTGCCATCCTGCATTAATGACTTTTCTTCTCACTGCCACCCACTGGACTGGAGGTGTAGTGCAGTTTTCCAAACAAATTGGATCCAAACCAAACGTTATTAGGTCAATTAAAATATATTTTCCATAGCCTTTAAAGGAATAGTACACCCAAAACATGATTAGCCTTCATTTTCTACTCACCCCCATGCTGAACAACACTCTGGAGTACTTTTTTGATATCTCAAATGCATCTGGAGATCTGGGAGGCTTCTTGCTGTCTGCTGACATTCAAATAATGGAGGTCTATGGCGCCCGAGGCAGAAAGGTCCATAAAAGTCCACAAAAAACGTGTCAATAATCCTCCATACTGCTCGTCCAATGTATTCCAAGTGTCCTGAGTGGGTAGCGTCCATAATTTACTCGAAACGAAGTCATTTAGAATGTTTTTAGAGCATAAACAGTAGTGTATAGGATTTCCTGAAAGCGCGCACATGCGCAATCACGACGCTACGGAAGCCGACAGACCAAACCAGATGAAAGTGCGAATTCAGCGTCTGCTCTGCCGATAATGCAAGCGTAGAAGAAGAAATGTGCTGTTTACCTGTGCAAAGAAAGAAACAACGAAAGAAAAATGTCTGAGGACTTCAGTGTTGAGGAAGAGCATGAGTTCTTTGCTGAGCTGAATGCGCACTTTCATCTGGTTTGGTCTGCCGCGGTTTCCGTAGCGCCGTGAACGCGCTTTCCGGAAATCCTATACACTACTGTTTATGCTCGAAAAACATTCTAAATGATTTCGTTTCGAGTAAATTCTGGATGCTACCCACTCAGGACACTTGGAATACATTGGACGAGCAGTATGGAGGAATATTGACACGTTTCTTGTGGACTTTTATGGACCTTTCTGCCTCGGGCGCCATAGACCTCCATTATTTGAATGTCAGCAGACAGCAAGAAGCCTCCCAGATCTCCAGATGCATTTGAGATATCAAAAAAGTACTCCAGAGTGTTGTTCAGCATGGGGGTGAGTAGAAAATGAAGGCTAATCATGTTTTGGGTGTACTATTCCTTTAAGAGCAGTTTTTGCTTGGCTAAAAACAAATCCCTGGTATTTAAATTCAAGGACTTTGTGTTGAAAAGGTGACAATAAAGCTAAACCAGAGTTAAAGGCCTCAACTTAGGTTAGTACGATTTTTTTAATCTCTGATCCGATTTTTTTTCCATGTCACACTGACTGCGTGTTGAAAGGCTCGGGTTAGGCAAGGTGAGCAGATCTCTGCAAATGTTTCACTTTTGTTTCTGTGCTTTACACACATTAAACTATTTACCACATTTGATTTGGACAAAATATGAAAAGTTATTAAGAAAAAAAAATGAAAACCACCGACTCATTCTATAAAGCAAAGCTCTACTTAACGAGTCTGCGCAGCATCTAGAACCAGAACAGATAGAGAAAGTTCATATAATAAAAATATAATGAGATCTACGTCTAAAGAAAAGAAAAACACAGCAATAAATGCTGTGGGATGGTTTTTATGCTGACTGCAGCAGAGAGGTGATTATCAGAGAGAGATCTGGGAAGTTTATCCAAGTTTTTCTTTCTTTTTTTCCATAAAGAGGTGAGAGAGATACGCCACACTCACTTGCTCTGTCTGTCCCTCCTTATTTTGTTTTCTGTGAGGCTCAAAGAGGATCACTATTTTCCGTTTTCTGTCTTGCTGAACCACTATTATAATTTTATTTCCCCGTGCGATTAACAGATTTTATTTTTTATTTTTCCACAAAGTGGATGTGTTTTACTTTGTAACCGCTTCTCTCTTCCGGTCAGATCCATGAAGTTGCTGCTGAATTGCTGCATAGTCAGACTAGAATAGACCTGGGCTCTATCAGAACATGTCCCTGATGACATGTTTAGCTGCATGTCATCATTTAACCGCTGGTTTTCTAGGTGGTGCCCTGAAAACAAGGTGGGCAACATTAATAATAGGCTATCGTTTTGGGGAAAGCCTGGTCTGATTTGGAGAGACGGCCTCCATCCCACTTTAGATGGTGCAGCACTTCTTTCTAGGAATCTGGTTTCATTTATCAGTCCTCCAAAACCCTGACCACCCAGGGTGCAGACTAGGAATCAGAGTTGTAGTTTAACACACCTCTCTGCAGCTTCTCTACTGTTACCCACTCATTACTCCATCCAGACAGTGCCTTGGTAACAAACAAAACCAAACAAATTAGAAAAGAATCCTAACCTTGTGCTCTGACCACTTTTTAATAACCTTCAGGATTACTTTAACAGAAGTCTCCTCCCCCAAAAGAAGGTTTCACTTTAGCAGATCATTATGAGATTATGAGATACATTTTAAAGAATCTGTTTCACGTTCTCTCTCCTCTGTTTCACTGAGCAGTGCTGCAGAGGGCAAAGGTTTAATTCATTCCCCTTCACAGGTTGATGATTTTGGGCTTGCTAGTTCCCTGTGTACTGCCTTAGACAACGCAGCCCCTTTAAAAAAAAATAAAAAATATTAAAATAGGAAGCTGGCTCCCCGGTTCAAAGCAGAGATGTGCACTCTGAAGCAAAAAACTAGGAAACTGGAGAGAAAATGGCGCTCCACATGCCTAAGGGAATCCTACCTAGTCTGGAAAAATTGTTTACTGCTGTATAAGAGAATCCTTCAAAAGCAAGAGCAGCATATTTCTCCTCATTAATAGAGTATAAGAATAATCCTAGATATATTTTTAATACAATTGCCAGACTCACCCAGAGCCATAGCTCTGTTGAACCGTCCATCCCACCTGCTCTTAGCAGTGATGATTTTATGGGATTCTTTATAAATAAGATTGATCTTATTAAAAAATGAGATCATTGTTACTCCTCTAACTACGATTGGTTTATCTCTAGAAGGTGGGGCAGCATCTGAGGTAGCCATAGAATCTGAACCGGGTTTAGACTGCTTTGATCCAGTTGAACTATTAGAGTTAGCAAAACTATTGTCTTCATCTAAACTTTCAACTTTTATGTTCGCTCCAGTTCTGACCACGTTATTCAAAGAAGTATTCCCTTTGATCTCCTGTTACAGGGATATGTATCAAAGGCTTTTAAGGTTGCTGTGAATAAACCTTTATTTCAGAAACCGTCTCTTGACCCAGATGACTTGGTCAATTATAGACCTATATCCAATCTTCCTTTCTTATCTAAAATTCTTGAGAAAGTAGTTGCCAAACAAGTGTGCAACTACTTACACCATAATGAACTTTTTGAAGAGTTTCACTCTGGTTTTGGGCTTATCACAGAACTGAAACTGCTCTTGTGAAAGTCACTAATGATATTCTCATGGCCTCAGATAATGGACTTGTATCTGTGCTCGTCCTGTTGGATCTCAGTGCTGCATTTGATAAAATTGACCATGATATTCTTTTAGAAAGACTTGAATATTTTGTAGGAATTAAAGGTACAACATTAGCCTCGTGAGATCATCCTGATCTCGTGAGCTTTCAAGGTTTCACTCGCAGATCAGTCTGGAGACTCTCCGTTAAAGAAAATTCACCAAACGAACATCCAATCAGCGTTGGCTTTGAGGCGGGTTGAGGTGTGACGCAACGAGAAGCACGACAGTTCAGTCTAAAGAACATGGTGGCTTCAGCCGATGAAACTAGCGTTAGCGTGGCTATCGAGCAAGTTTTATCGGAATTACAGAGTATTTCTTCACTGAAAGAAGAGCAAAACACTGCTCTGGAGGCTTTTCTCAGAGGAAAAGATGTTTTTGCTCTTCTCCCGACTGGTTTCGGAAGAGTTAGCCTGGCTTGTGGTTGTGTTTTCGTCGTCGCTCTGTTAGTACGTCATATGCTTCGTTGATCTGATTGGTTTATTTGGCCCGTCTATCACCAACATAGGCCAATCAGCTAACCAGTATTTTCGCCCCTTCCCAAAATTACTTCAACGGAAGGTTTCCAGATGGATATACGGAGCAAATCCACCTGGCGGAGTCAGGTTAGTACAGCACTAGACTGGTTTAAATCTTATCTATCTGATCAATTTCAGTTTGTTCACGTTAATGGCAGATCTTCCTCATGCTCAAAGGTTACCTGTGGAGTACCACAGGGATCAGTGCTAGGACAAATTCTCTTTACTTTATATATGTTCCCAATCGATAAGAGTTATTAGACAGCATGGTATTAATTTTCACTGTTATGCTGATGATACCCAGCTGTATAAAACCAGATGAAGCTAACCCATTACATAGATTACAGGCATGTCTTCAAGACATAAAAACCTGGATGACTCTTAACTTTCTCCTTCTGCATGAAGACAAAACAAAAGTTATAGTCTATGGACCAGAGTCTTTGAAAAATAAGCAGATTAGTCAGTCAGTTCATTTGGATGGGATTAATTTGATCTCAGATAAAGTAAAACGTCTTGGTGTTATTTTTGATCAGGACCTGTCATATCAAAGATTTTCAAATAATTTACTTTTTTCATTTGCAGAATATTGCACACAAAAAATAGAAATATCCTGTCCAGGGATGATGCTAAGAAACTAACAGGTTATCCTGAGCTATCTCTATAGTTATGCTGCTATAGGCTCAGACTGCTGGAGGGCATAGGGCCACCTTTTTATCATTTTACTTCATTCTATCTCTTTCCTCCCATTCTGCAGAATCTGTTAGTTCAATCTCTAACATTATGCTCTCTCTGCTTTTTCTCATAGTAGCTTCATCTAGTCTGTTCCTGTTTGGCTGTGACTCCATCCTGGAGAGAAATATCAGCTGTGCTGCTGCCATCGACACCTTTGTTTATAGATGTTGGAGATTGGCCTGTTTTCCAGTCTAGTCCTGTTTCTCTGACTGTGACTAACTGGATGTGCTCTCTTCATCCTCTGACATGGGAGCTGGCTCGGAGCTCGTCTGCCTGGCTGTGTGTTTCATGGCCGGGTTCGCCTGTGGAGCTCGTTGACAGTTTTTCCTTTTGTATCTCTGCTTCTGTCTCTTTGAACCCCACTCAGCCTCAGCACATGACCGCTCACACTGAGCCTGGTTCTGCTGGAGGTTTCTTCCTGTTCAAAGGGAGTTTTCCTCTCCACTGTCGCTAAAATCATGCTTGTTGTGATCATCCTCACTGACTTTCAATGAGTGCTAAACGCCACAACCTCGTCCGACATCATTTTCTGTCGGATCGGACGCAAAGTGTGTTGTGGCCTTTAGATTATATTTTTCTTGGATGCACATCTTTATATTTAAGTGCAATGTCCAGCCTAAAAGCCTTATTCTTTAGATCTATGAACTTTGTCAGCCTATAAATTCATACAGAAATATTTCCAGTTGGGTCAACATGTTTCCAGTTCCCCAAATGGAGATAGTTGTCTGAGCACTTTACGAGCTTTATCCTCCAACTCTGAAGGTATATGAAGACACTTAACCTCAGATCGCATCTACACAGATGGATTCACCATGGTAACTAGGCCGCAAGCACTTAACTGCACTTCCATGAAGAAAATGCACAGAGCAACAGAAACTGGATGGATTCATAACAAATGTTATTTTTAGACTAAAACGGCCACATTTTCTGGTTCTGAACACAAGAACAACAAATCAGAGCATCCCATTGGATATTCCCCTTGGTGAATCTTTTACAGTTGATGACTATAATGTGGGGGAACCTGGGTTTGAATCAGCCTCTCAGATGATGGACTGAACAGAACTTCAGAAGATGCTCAAAGTTGGGAGGATTGTTCTAGAACCTAAATTGAACCAGAAGTTTCAATGAACGTTGGCTGGAAGATGAAAAATACAAATTATGGATTAAACGGGGACAAACCCCACGAGTTGCCTCTTGTAAAGTCTGCAAAAAAGATGTGCAGCTTTTCACAATGGGCGAGTCTGCGCAGTCGAGTCACATGAAGAGTAAGTCATAGACCTTTTAAGTAAGCCAACTGAAGTAGCCTAGTAGCTACACGTTAACGTTAGCGCCTATTTGTTTACGCTAGTAACTGCTAGCTAGGAATTCACAGGCTAAGTTACTGAGTGACTGAGAGTACGGTGTGATAATGTAATGTTAGTATTGCAGTGTTTCCTGCAGCACTATCTTGGCGAGGCGGTCACCTCGCCAAACTCACGCTACCACCGTGCCAACGTTCCAAAAAAAAACCCAAAAAACCCCCGAAGTTTTAATTCATTGCCAGGCCCAGACCTTAAAATAGCATTGATAACTCTACGGCTGATAATACTGAATTGCGACACCCTCTGGTTGGTTATATTACTACGCCATGGCAGAGGAGTAATTTTCTTTGATCATCCGAGTAATCATTTTGACTATGTATTGGTATGTAATTTATGGTGGTGTAAGGTGCTGGAAAAAGTTTTAAAATGGATCTTGAAAGTGCTTGATTTTGACTTTGGAAAAGGTGTGCAAACCCTGCTCTGCGGGCAGAAGAGCTTGGCTAAGTTTGACTAAGAATAAATCAATGGATTTCATTAAGGGCTGTTAGACTAAAGGGGCCAGAAAAACAGTTGCTCAACAAGCTTTTCAGAGTTTCATGACTGTAGAAAGTATTGCTCTTCTTTGAGTCGGCCATCACCAAAAAAAAAACAATAAAAGGATAAGTTCTAAAAAGGTATGAAAATTAAAAAAGGAATTTGTTTCTTTTAAAGGAACGCATTTAGTTTAGAAAGTGGTAATATTTGCCTTTATTTATCCATCCTGATGCTAAGAGCTAGACAGCAGAGAAATACTTACGAAGAAGATGAGGTTGAAGAGGAAGAGCAGGTACTTGCTCACTTTCAGGCAGCCTTGTCCCATTTTGCTTTATCTGCAAACACCACAAAGAAACAGGAATGTGTCAGCTGAGACATCAGTGAGGGGGAGGAGCCATCTCCAACCCAGACTCTGGATGAGAACTGCAGACCTTCACGGTCCGTTGGTTTCTAAAAGCAATCAAACCCAGGTTTATGAGGAAACATATTTCAAGATAAAAACAACAAAGATCTAGGAGTCTAGGAGCTGCTGGGAGGAAAGATCTGTGATAACGCTCCTCAGTGGACCTAAGGTGCAGCTTGTCCCTGGAGCTCTCTAGCGCTGCAACAGCTTCAGACTAGAGGGTTCAGAGAAACTGAAGTAAAAATGTTCATCAACTGTACAAAAACTTTGTATTCTCAGCGCCTTACTTTCCTGTTTCAGCTACAATTAACATCATTTCTCTGTTAAACAGCAGAATAATTATATAAATATATTTGAACAAATATTTATACATCTCTCTAGAGAATAAAGGCTGATTTTGTAAAGAAATGGATTTTAAAAACAAACCACTGGACTTTTTAAGACATTTTGCTTCCCATCCAGGGCAGCTCTTTCCAATTTTGAATTGAAAATGCATCCTGGATGGGAAGCTTCTTGGAATTGGGAAAAAATATTACAGTGGTTGTTTTTTTTACTTTTTAGAATGACTATGATCTGGATGACTGAGAACCTTTACCAGCAAAAAGAAATTGAGGAAAAACAAAGTTTTCTTAGCGGCAGAAATCGAGAAAAGAAAAAAAAGCTTAAAATAAACTAGAAATAATCAGGAAACAGTGGAGGACCACTTGTTTTTTTTACTCTGTCAGCTGTTCTGAAGCTGGTCTTTTCTTATTGATGATCTTATTGCACCTGTGATGAGCCAGAATCCTTTCTAGATATGTTTAATGAACTTAAACTAATTCCTTTGGTTCCGTTTCAACCTTTGAAACATCCCTGCAGAATGAAACCAGTTCAAACCTGACGCTTAATAAGCCAACAGCTCCCATTAAAACCAGTGACTTTAGCTGAATCGATCTGTTTTCTTCCTTCACTGTCCAATAAATCCATGGAATATGGGGTGGGGGGGCAGCCGACCCACTTTCCCAGCACTGTAAATGGGTCAGTGTTACAGAACCGCCCGGGTCAGTTCATGAAGCTTTAGGCTATTTTCCAGCTATAAACCTGTTATCGCCGATGATTTACTGCTTCTCCAGAATAATTCCCTTTTTAATCGATGGTCATAAAACCATAAACATCCTTCATTTGTCCTTCAGCTGCTTTGGAAACACAGGTCCTTCTAATGGCATAAATACAGAGATAGAAATCAACCAGAAGACTTTATCTCACGGGTTTAATCTGGGGGGAGTGAAAACTTTCTGATGCATGTGGAGAAATTATTCGGCCTTTTGGTATCACTTATTGACCCGCTTACGGCACCCAGGAACCATGTTGACGTCCAGATCCTTCTTGGATCCATGATTATGTCTGGAGACGGAGAACAAAACAAGGAAGAACCGCCGTTTGATTCTGGAACGGACCAGAACCAAAGTTTGGATTAGGGATGCACGATATTGGGATTTTGGCCGATATCCGATATGCCGATATTTTAAAACTCATGTAGCCGATAACCGATATCGATACCAATGTTAAAGCTGTATCTCGGTATCGATCTATTTTACTTTCAAAATCTCGTGAAATTTCATCGTTCTGTTACAAACTCTCGTGATATTTTGCAAATTCTTGTGAGATTTTGTTAGTAAAATAGATCGATACCGCGTCAATATATCAACATATAAAAATATGGCAACATTTCGTGAATTTTCGGGGGATTTCGTAGCATAACGATGACATATAGCAATATTTCATTAGTAAAAGAGATTGATATGGTGTTTTTAAATGGCAATATATCAGCATATGAAGATATTGTGATATTTTAATGTATCAATATTTTCTCCCTCGTCTTTAGAAGTTTTTAAGTCTGTAAAAAAGAAGTTTTTGAGGAAGAAGAAGAAGTAGTATTTTTTTTTTTTTAGACTTTAGAAACTCAGAAACTGATCAAATATCGGGTTAAATATCGGTGGGGTGGCCGATGTCCGATATTCAGTTTTAAGGCCGATACCGATAGGGGGCCGATTATATCGAGCATCCCTAGTTTGGATCATGAAGCAGAGCCTCTCTCTAAGAGTTTGGAAGATGGGACTGGTACCGGGCCAAAGGTTCTGATAAATAACTGGACAACATCCCCTTTGGTTCAAAAGAAAAATGAGAGAAAAGAAGAAGAATCCACATAATCGGGTCGTTTCGAAACGACGAGCAGTAAATCAGTTTCTCCTCCAGTTTTATTTCTTCCCATCAGAACTTTTTTGATAACGACCCGTTTTCTCTGTACAGGTTCAGCCAGGGTTCCTCGGTACCGATGAGGTCGTTGTGTTTTGGTCAGGAATATCGGAACCAACTGCAACAGAAACCACAGCTAAAAATATCAGACCAGGAATTTAATCTGAACCCAAATGATCCTTCAATCAACTCACTGACATCAAGGTTCTGGTTTTCATTTCAACGCTCAGAACTTTCCTTCTTCCTCCTGAAGATAAGGAGCAGAATGTCTGCAGCACGGCCGAGAATGCTCAAAGTTCTGGTTGCTGTAAACATGACACGGATTTATGGTTTGAAAAAAGACTTTAAATATAGCAGCAGCCTGGAGCCGCTTTGTTCTGCAGCTGGACAGAGAAAAGCAGAAGCGGTCCAAACTCTGCTGGGAACCACACCAGGTTCTGGTTAAATCATTAGTCGGCTGCTCTGGAATTTGAAAGAGGCTTAAAATAAAAACAGAACAGACTCGAAACCGAAGGACTGAAGCTGGAGGATGAAGTGCTCACTAACTGCAGGAGGAGTTAGCGTTCATGTCACTAACAAACTGGACTCATAACACAGACGTCCTGTAGAAGAAGGGCCAGAGCCGCCTCCACCTCCTGAGGAGGCTGAGGTCCTTCAGAGTCAGCAGGCCCCTGCTTAAAACCTATGACTCTGTGGCGGCGTCAGCTCTACGCTGTCGTCAGCTGGGCCCCTGGCAGCGCAGAGCGGGACAGAAAGAGACTGAATCAACTACTGAGAAAGGCCGTTTCTGTCCTTGGCTGCACTCTGGACTCAGTGGAGGAAGCAGCTGAGAGGAGGATGCTGTCCAAGCTTACATGCATCATGGAGAACACCTAGGGATGCACCATATTGGGATTTTGGCCGATATCCGATATGCCGATATTTTAAAACTCATGTAGCCGATAACCGATATCGATACCGATGTTAAAGCTGGACAAAAATAAGTAGTCATTGAAAATAGCGGTTTTATTATCCATTTCTGACACTTTGGAAAAATAATATACTCAAATATATTTTCATATGCTGATATCAAATTGATTTTTAAAAACGCGGTATCGATCTATTTTACTTTCAAAATCTCGTGAAATTTCATCGTTCTGTTACAAACTCTCGTGATATTTTGCAAATTCCTGTGAGATTTTGTTAGTAAAATAGATCGATACCGCGTCAATATATCAACATATAAAAATATGGCAAAATTTTTTGATTTTCAGGGGGGTTTCGTAGCATAACGATGACATATAGCAATATTTCATTAGTAAAAGAGATTGATATGGTGTTTTTAAATGGCAATATATCAGCATATGAAGATATTGTGATATTTTAATGCATCAATATTTTTTCCCTCGTCTTTAGAAGTTTTTAAGTCTGTAAAAAAGAAGTTTCTGAGGAAGAAGAAGGAGTAGTATTTTTTTTTTACACTATAGAAACTCAGAAGCTGATCAAATATTGGGTTAAATATCAGTGGGGTGGCCGATGTCCGATATTCAGTTTTAAGGCCGATACCGATAGGGGGCCGATTATATCGAGCATCCCTAAGAACACCTTCCACCCTCTGCACCAGACTGTAGAGGATCTGAGCACATCCTTTAGTCAAAGACTTTTACTCCGTTTGTAAAAAGTGGAGCTACTGCAGGTCATTCATCCCTGCTGCTACCAGCATGGGCGGTTCTAGACAGGGGAAAACGGGGGCCAGGGCCCCTTTAGATCAAGTCCTGGCCCCTGTACTGAAGACATAATACTCAAAGAAATTCTAAAGATGATTTGCGCTAAAACAGACATGGTTACTGATAGATCCTTTGGATCCATTTTATTTTTTTCTTTACAAATTCTGTTTTATTAACTGTTTAAAAGCATAGCATAAGTGGTATTGAGATAGGATCCCAGTTTTTATCTGCTAAATGTTTTTCCCCCCAAAACAAATGTAAAAAAAAACCCCAGCTAATTTGAACAGTTTTTCTTAAATTCTAATTCAGATTTTTATAGAAAACTGTAATTTCTACTTAAATTAAGCAAAAAAAAAAGTTAAATTCCTAAATTCAGAATGTCTATTGACCTATTAAGACATTTAGAATTTTAATGAAACCTAATTGAATAGAAATGTCACTTCATGCAGCTATCTTAATTTATTTGAATCCCTTGCCCTGTTTTTTTATTTCATGCTTTGCTGTGCCCCCATGAAAACACGCTGGGCCCCTCCTGGCCCCCTTGGTACATTTGGTCTAGAACCGCCACTGGCTACCAGACTCTGCAACGCTGCACTACAACAGCAATAACTTGTGCAATTACTATTTAATACCCCATGCATAAACTGGTATAACGATCCTACTATAAAAAAATTAAGCTGTCATAAATGGAGGCACTATATATACTGTATATTAGGGGTGGAACGGTTCACAAAATCCACGGTTCGGTTCGGTATATGTTGATTGTTACCCTGAAACCCCATAAAAATGAATGAAATTAATGAAACAAAAAACTATGAATTGTAATTATTTTTAATGATCCACAGAAACCCTGGATCATATCCGCATGTTTTTCTGCTTTGAATTTAATCATCTGGCGCATGCCCTCTACCATCTCCAAGGGACTCAGAGCGGAGCGGACGGGAGCCACAGCGGAGGCTGTAGGCTTTGCTTTGTGCAGGCGGTCTGGAGC